ACTCACACACATAATACACTAACACACTCACACACATAATACACTAACACACTCACACACATACACATGTACTCACACTCACACATCATGTACTCACACACTCACACACATAATGTACTCACACACAATGTACTAACACACTCACACACATAATGTACTAACATACTCACACACATACACTCACAAACTCACACAATACACTCACACACTCACACACATAATATACTAACACACTCACACACACACACTCACACATAATACACTAACACACCCAAACACACTCACACACACTCACACACATAATACACTAACACACTCACACACATAATACACAACCACACTCCTGCACATAATACACTAACACCCTCCAACACCTAATACACTAACACACCCAAACACACTCCTACGTAGAATACACAACCACACTCCAATGCGTAATACACTCCTACACGTAAGACACTAACACACTCCTCTACACATCATACACTAACACACCCAAACACAGAATACATTCAAACACTGCAACACATAATACACTCACTCACTCACACACATAATACACTAACACACTCACACACATAATACACTCACACATAATACACTCACTCACTCACCCACCGTAACACGCACACCACTAGCACTGCTCATCCACTAACACACGCGCCTAATACTGCTCCTCAACACGCATCCTAACACTCAATAGAAATTCAAAGGTCGCCTTTTCACGGCAAGAGTTGCGGCTTGCGCGATGTTCGCCACGGGCCGGGGAATCGAACCCAGGTGGCCGCGTTCGCGGTCAACCACTGCGCCACCGCTCCCCACCACCACCACCGACCGAGCCAGATCAATAGTAGCTCCCGCATGCCCCCTCTCGTCTCACCGGCCTTGCAGGGGTCCCTGTAGTCGATGCCATCCTCGCTGTCGTCGGAGTAGAGATCCCCAGGGTCACCAAGGTCACCTGGGTCCCCCCAAGCCCCCGCGCCACCGCCTCCCCGCGCCGACAGCAGCAGCAGCAGCAGGAGGAGCAGGGGAGCCGTCGTCATGGCAACCAGGTGCGTGGATGCGACTCCAGGTGACCGGGCGCGGAACTCCACGGAAACTCTCCAAGCAAAACACTCTCAACGGCTCTCTTTAACTCTCTCCCTCGGTCTCTCAGCGTCTCTTCCTCGATGCGCTTCGCTCGCTGGAGCTCGCAATTTTCTCCTTCGATTCCGACTCCACTTGGAGCTCTCCCACTCGCGCCGCCTCTTCCTCGGATTCCTCCCAAACTCTCAACCGAGTCTCCACAGAGCTCTTTAACCGCCTCTGCTGCTCCTCCTCCTCCTCTCTCGCCGTCTCTTCCTGTAATGCGTTCCACTCTCCACGTGTATCCCCCGGAGTTATCGGATTCTCCTGCCCGACTCCAGCCGGAGCTCTCCACCACTCTTCACGGTCTCTCCGTGGAGCTGCGTCTCGCTCCGTTGACTCTTCAGCTCTCACGGTTTCTCCCCGCAGCACTAAGACAAGGATCAGAGTCTGGTGTAAATGCGGGCACGACCCTTTGCGGGTATCTCCCCGGGGGGGTCTCTCCAAGAGATTCTCGGTGATTCTTGCCGAGTCTCTGCGGGACTCTTAAGGGTCGCTCCGAATCGCTCCTGGACACAATCTCTCTCTCTCCGAATCATGGCGAGCAGATTTAAGTAGGAGGGGGGCGCGTGGGAGGAGCCGGGGCTCCGCATCTCTAAATCACATCTCCCCTGCGTCATCGCGACATGTGTGTTACGAAAGCGACCGATTTGTGACCTCAACTCACCACGACCACCGTCATCATCAACATGGAGATGAATCACTTCTCATGTCGTGACCAGTCATCGACCATCATAAACAGCAACTACCATTGCTCATCATCATGAACACTGAATCATCATTACTCTCATGAGCATTCATTTCAACGATCGTCATCATCGCCATGCTCGTGATGGAGATTTAATCGTATTTACCGTCGTGAGCAATTATCATCAACCACCATCATTACTCATCGTCGTCTATTCCTTGGTGTTGTTATCGATGAAGGTGGTTGTTGTTGTTGGTTGTTGTGCACCACTGCACACGTAGGAGTGGCAGCATCACCACCAACACCACCACCAGTTAATCCCGTTAATTGCCGGACTAGAGATCGCTTTAAAATACAGGGGACGAGGGATGCGTCTAAGAATCCGGAGAGTATGGTGACTCACCCATGTAGGTAGTCACGGATAACTCTGACAATCACTGATAACTCAGTGCATCACGGATAACCCAGGACATCGCGGATAACCCAGTGCATCGCGGATAACCCAGTGCATCACTGATAACTCAGTGCATCACTGATAACCCAGTGTATCACTGATAACACAGTGCATCACTGATAACTCAGTGTATCACTGATAACCCAGTGCATCACTGATAACTCAGTGTATCACTGACAACTCAGTGCATCACTGACAACTCAGTGCATCACTGATAACCCAGTGAATCACGGATAACCCAGTGCATCACTGATAACTCAGTGCATCACTGATAACCCAGTGCATCACTGATAACCCAGTGCATCACTGATAACTCAGTGCATCACTGATAACCCAGTGCATCACTGATAACCCAGTGCATCACTGATAACCCAGTGCATCACTGATAACCCAGTGCATCACTGATAACCCAGTGCATCACTGATAACCCAGTGCATCACTGATAACCCAGTGCATCACTGATAACCCAGTGCATCACTGATAACCCAGTGCATCACTGATAACCCAGTGCATCACTGATAACCCAGTGCATCACTGATAACTCAGTGCATCACTGATAACCCAGTGCATCACTGATAACTCAGTGCATCACTGATAACTCAGTGCATCACTGATAACCCAGTGCATCACTGATAACTCAGTGCATCACTGATAACTCAGTGCATCACTGATAACCCAGTGCATCACTGATAACCCAGTGCATCACTGATAACCCAGTGCATCACTGATAACCCAGTGCATCACTGATAACTCAGTCCATCACTGATAACACAGTGCATCACTGATAACCCAGTGCATCACTGATAACACAGTGCATCACTGATAACACAGTGCATCACTGATAACTCAGTGCATCACTGATAACTCAGTGCATCACTGATAACACAGTGCATCACTGATAACTCAGTGCATCACTGATAACCCAGTGCATCACTGATAACCCAGTGCATCACTGATAACCCAGTGCATCACTGATAACCCAGTGCATCACTGATAACTCAGTGCATCACTGATAACACAGTGCATTACGGATAACCCAGTACATCACGGATAACCCAGTGCATCACGGATAACCCAGTGCATCACGGATAACCCAGTGCATCACGGATAACTCAGTGCATCACTGATAACCCAGTGCATCACTGATAACCCAGTGCATCACTGATAACTCAGTGCATCACTGATAACCCAGTGAATCACTGATAACTCAGTGCATCACTGATAACTCAGTGCATCACTGATAACCCAGTGCATCACTGATAACCCAGTGCATCACTGATAACCCAGTGCATCACTGATAACCCAGTGCATCACTGATAACCCAGTGCATCACTGATAACCCAGTGCATCACTGATAACTCAGTGCATCACTGATAACTCAATGCATCACTGATAACCCAGTGCATCACTGATAACTCAGTGCATCACTGATAGCTCAGTGCATCACTGATAACCCAGTGCATCACTGATAACCCAGTGAATCACGGATAACCCAGTGCATCACTGATAACTCAGTGCATCACTGATAACCCAGTGCATCACTGATAACTCAGTGCATCACGGATAACCCAGTGCATCACTGATAACTCAGTGCATCACTGATAACCCAGTGCATCACTGATAACCCAGTGCATCACTGATAACTCAGTGCATCACTGATAACCCAGTGCATCACTGATAACTCAGTGCATCACTGATAACTCAGTGCATCACTGATAACCCAGTGCATCACTGATAACTCAGTGCATCACTGATAACTCAGTGCATCACTGGTAACTCAGTGCATCACTGATAACCCAGTGCATCACTGATAACTCAGTGCATCACTGATAACTCAGTGCATCACTGATAACCCAGTGCATCACTGATAACCCAGTGAATCACGGATAACCCAGTGCATCACTGATAACCCAGTGCATCACTGATAACCCAGTGCATCACTGATAACCCAGTGCATCACTGATAACCCAGTGAATCACGGATAACCCAGTGCATCACTGATAACTCAGTGCATCACTGATAACCCAGTGCATCACGGATAACCCAGTGCATCGTGGATAACCAGTCTATCCTAGCCGTCTGTTCTCAGACACGCGCCTCGAGTCGATACGAAGCAAAGCATGAGGCCAGCTCCGCTTTGCCAGTGTCTCTCTGTGTCTCTCTTGTGTCTACCCGTGTCTCTCCGTGTCTCATTGTCATTGTGTTTATCTGCGTCTCTGCATCTCTATGCCTCTGTATCTAGGGACCATCCATTTAGTAGGTACGCACAAGTCTGTCAAAACTTGACCCCTCCCTGAACGCACGCGTACTTTTTACACCCTCCCACCCCACACCTGCGTACGTACGTACGCTTGACGCACCCCCCCCCCCCCCCCCCGAATTACTACGAGATTCATGCCGCCAGCTATGGCTGCAAAGTTTGGTCGTACATGTTATGTATATCGTTTATTGTTAAATTTGAATCACAGTTCCTATGATCACTGTTATAGCTTTATTTTGGTGATTTCGAAAACGTTTTGGTTTAGCCGTATTTGCTTGTTGTAGTACAGAGTTAGACTGATACCTTTAATATAAATTGTCTTATGGTTCTTATTGTTTGACTCGCATCCCACTGCGATTTTTGCACACAGCGTTGACATACGGTGTTTTTATCTGGAAGACTTTGCTGTTTTTTCCTGGATTTTTCTGTTGCGTGTAGTCACTTTAAGATGTTTCTTGTTCATGTTTTTGTTTGTTGCGGTTGCACCCGATTCAAGAGCCGAATGGCTCACAGGGATATACATAATAAATGAATTGAAATTAACTGAAAATTAGATGAGCCAAGAACGTCTGTTTGTGTGTCACGCGCGTGACGTCACTCCACATGCCGCACCCCCCGCCCCCCGTCATTAATATTCATGAGCGGGTGGATTTTTACACTCACGCAGAAGGTCGAGCGGAAATACATTTATTTTTCGCAAATTCGCTTTAAGTTTGACGTTTTCTTTATTGAAAGTGAATATAAAATATAATTCTACGCAGCAACAAAGTAGATGTATGCTTCTACATTATGGTAAAATCGACATTTCTCGGTGATTTTCCAGATATTTTATCGAACTCCAATTTATTTCAACACCAGCGACCGAAAGCAGAAGAGAATAAAGTATGAGAGCAGTGAATTTGAACAAATTGAAGGTCAGTTATATGCAGTGCGAAAGTGACATGAAGGGAGTTGTTTTATGATAGTTTCGTGCAAAAATCACTGCCATTCCATTGACCGAAGATACAATTATACTCTGCTCAATTTTTTCGTAAATATTACAGCTTCCGTCCTAAGACGGGAAAAAACAGGCTCGTCCTATAGAACGGCCGATATTTAATCCACGCAGAAACGATCAAGGAGTAATAATATTAACGTGTTTAAGCAAACAGATAGTCCACCGCCGGACTTTCTAACTCATTTGAAGGCCAATGTAGACAAATTATTATCGAGGCTTCAGCTCCCCCCCCCCCCATTTCCTATGCGTACATTGTCAGTAGACCCCCCCCCCCATACACAAGCGTAGGTATTTGGGTTAGCCCCCCACTCCCCACTCCATGCGTACGTACTGAATGGATGGTCCCCTATCTTTGTCTCTCGGTCTCTCCGTCCGTCTGAATCTCGGTCTTTGTCCATCTGTCCCTGTGTCTGTCTGTCTGTCGTTCGCGGTATCTTTGTTTCCTGCCTGTCTCCATGAACCTCTCTCTCGATCGTGGGAGGTCTCCCGGCCGTGAGCCAAGCTCACGGAGTTTACAACTCCCAGCATAATCTCACCATCGATCGCCATCATCATATCGTCGCTGCATCGTTCTACGTATCCCCATCATCATGATTCACTTCACAATTATCACAACGTAATCACCATCGTCCGATCGTAACTTTGCCATCATCCTTACCACTATCATCATCATCATATCATTACGTAATTATCACGATCACAATCATCCCGATTCGCCGGGATGCGGCGGGCAGAGCCACGTCTCACATCTCGACTCCGCGATCTCTTCCCGGGCGGAGGGGGGCGGGTTGGGGAGCCGAGACGGAGCCGAGAGGGAGCCGCCGTCGGCTCTCTGCAGCAGACGATGGGAGCCGCACTCAGCAACAGCGAGACCGTGGCGCGGGGGGGGGGGGGCAGAGAGGGGAGATGACGAGAAGACGGAGCAAGTGGCAGCAGCAGGAGGAGATTGAGATACAGAAAAGCAACGGAGCACGAGGAGTTGAAGTGAGCAGCAGACGGACGGAGGAGCGTCGGGAGGAGCAGAGAAAGGAGCTCAAGACGAGATGGAGACGCAACAGGGGGGAGCAGGCAGAGCACGGAGCAGAGCTGAAGCGGGAGGTGAAGTTAGCAGCAGATGGAGGCGCAACAGGCGGGGGGGGGGGGGCGGGAGAACAAGGAGAGGAACGGGAGACGGAGCAGTCACGGGAGAAGGATGAGTTGGGAGCAGGAGGAATACGGGCAGGGAGATGGAGCAGATGGAGGAGGAGGAGGCTCCACTCGGGCCGGGGTTAAACGAGCGGAGCGCGGCGTTAACCTGGAGCCACGCGGAGTGATGGAGCCGCGATGTTGAACTCTCTCTCTCTCCTCCTCCTCCACTCCACTCTGGCCAAATGATTCTCGCGGTCACGTGACGCGGCTCGCCGCCCGGCCGGGGGGAGGGGCGCAGCGCCACATGGGCATTTAAAGGGGCTCGACATGTGGGTGGGTGCGGTTGGGGTTCTGTAGTGGTAGGGGTGCTGTAGTGGTAGGGGTTCTAAAGTGGTAGGGGTTCTGTAGTTGTAGGGGTTCTAAAGTGGTAGGGGTTCAGTAGTGGTAGGGGTCTGTAGTGGTAGGGGTTCTAAAGTGGTAGGGGTTCTAAAGTGGTAGGGGTTCTGTAGTGGTAGGGGTTCTAAAGTGGTAGGGGTTCTAAAGTGGTAGGGGTTCTAAAGTGGTAGGGGTTCTAAAGTGGTAGGGGTTCTAAAGTGGTAGGGGTTCTGTAGTGGTAGGGATTCTAAAGTGGTAGGGGTTCTAAAGTGGTAGGGGTTCTAAAGTGGTAGGGGTTCTAAAGTGGTAGGGGTTCAGTAGTGGTAGGGGTCTGTAGTGGTAGGGGTTCTAAAGTGGTAGGGGTTCTAAAGTGGTAGGGGTTCTGTAGTGGTAGGGGTTCTAAAGTGGTAGGGGTTCTAAAGTGGTAGGGGCTCTAAAGTGGTAGGGGTTCTAAAGTGGTAGGGGTTCTAAAGTGGTAGGGGTGCTGTAGTGGTAGGGGTTCTAAAGTGGTAGGGGTTCTAAAGTGGTAGGGGTTCTGTAGTGGTAGGGGTTCTAAAGTGGTAGGGGTTCTAAAGTGGTAGGGGTTCTAAAGTGGTAGGAGTTCTGTAGTGGTAGGGGTTCTGTAGTGGTAGGGGTTCTGTAGTGGTAGGGGTTCTAAAGTGGTAGGGGTTCTGTAGTGGTAGGGGTTCTAAAGTGGTAGGGGTTCTAAAGTGGTAGGGGTTCTGTAGTGGTAGGGGTTCTAAAGTGGTAGGGGTTCTAAAGTGGTAGGGGTTCTAAAGTGGTAGGGGTTCTAAAGTGGTAGGGGTTCTGTAGTGGTAGGGGTTCTGTAGTGGTAGGGGTTCTAAAGTGGTAGGGGTTCTAAAGTGGTAGGGGTTCTAAAGTGGTAGGGGTTCTGTAGTGGTAGGGGTTCTAAAGTGGTAGGGGTTCTGTAGTGGTAGGGGTTCTAAAGTGGTAGGAGTTCTAAAGTGGTAGGGGTTCTGTAGTGGTAGGGGTTCTAAAGTGGTAGGGGTTCTAAAGTGGTAGGGGTTCTAAAGTGGTAGGGGTTCTAAAGTGGTAGGGGTTCTGTAGTGGTAGGGGTTCTGTAGTGGTAGGGGTTCTAAAGTGGTAGGGGTTCTAAAGTGGTAGGGGTTCTAAAGTGGTAGGGGTTCTAAAGTGGTAGGGGTTCTAAAATGGTAGGGGCTCTAAAGTGGTAGGGGTTTTAAAGTGGTAGGGGTTCTAAAGTGGTAGGGGTTCTAAAGTGGTAGGGGTTCTAAAGTAGATCTTTGTCTTTGTGGTAGGGAATTCTGTATGTGTGTGTGTGGTAGGGCTTCTATAGTGGTATGGGTGTGTGGTAGGGGTTCTATGTATGTGATAGGGGGTCTATGGTGGTAGGGGTTCTGTAGTCGTATATGGGTGTGGTAGGGGTTCTGTAGTGGTTGGGGTTCTACAGTAGTCTGGGATCTGTGTCTTTGTGGTAGGAGTTCTGTGTGTGTGGTAGGGGTTCTGTGTGTGTGGTAGGAGTTCGGTAGTTGAAGGGGTTATGTGGTGGTATAGATTCTATAGTGTTAGGGGTTCTATAATGGTAGGGGTTCTGCGTGTGTTATCGGCGTAAGGCACTACCATGAGTAACAAGGCACATAACAATACAATTTTATTGTACTGCACCTAATATTTGTCCCGTTACAATCACATTAACGTCCCCAGCTACGACCAGGCCTACCTCAACCCCTTTCACCACCCCAACCCCTATCACCACCCCAACCCCTATCACCACCCCAACCCCTATCACCACCCCAACCCCTATCACCACCCCAACCCCTATCACCACCCCAACCCCTATCACTACCCCAACTTCTATCACCACCCCAACCCCTATCACTACCCCAACCCCTATAACTACCCCAACCCCTATCACTACCCCAACCCCTATCACTACCCCAACCCCTATCACCACCCCAACCCCTATCACAACCCCTATCACTACCCCAACCCCTATCACCACCCCAACCCCTATCACAACCCCTATCACTACCCCAACCCCTATCACTACCCCAACCCCTATCACCACCCCAACCCCTATCACAACCCCTATCACTACCCCAACCCCTATCACTACCCCAACCCCTATCACCACCCCAACCCCTATCACCACCCCAACCCCTATCACCACCCCAACCCCTATCACTACCCCAACCCCTATCACTACCCCAACCCCTATCACTACCCCAACCCCTATCACTGCCCCAACCCCTATCACTGCACCAACTCCTATTACTATCCCAACCCCTATCACCGCCCCAACCCCTATCACTACCCCAACCCCTATCACTACCCCAACCCCTATCACTGCCCCAACCCCTATCACTGCACCAACTCCTATTACTATCCCAACCCCTATCACCACCCCAACCCCTATCACTACCCCAACCCCTATCACTACCCCAACCCCTATCACCACCCCAACCCCTATCACTACCCCAACCCCTATCACTACCCCAACCCCCATCACTACCCCAACCCCTATCACTACCCCAACCCCTATCACCACCCTATCACCACCCCAACCCCTATCACTACCCCAACCCCGATCACTACCCCTATCACTACCCCAACCCCTATAACTACCCCAACCCCTATCACTACCCCAAACCCTATCACTACCCCAACCCCTATCACCACCCCAACCACTATCACCACCCCAACCCCTATCACTACCCCAACCCCTATCACTACCCCAACCCCTATCACCACCCCAACCACTATCACCACCCCAACCCCTATCACCACCCCAACCCCTATCACTACCCCAACCACTATCACCACCCAACCACTATCACAACCCCAACCCCTATCACTACCCAACCCCTATCACTACCCCAACCCCTATCACTACCCCAACCCCTATCACCACCCCAACCCCTATCACTACCCCAACCCCTATCACCACCCCAACCCCTATCACCACCCCAACCCCTATCACCACCACAACCCCTATCACTACCCCAACCCCTATCACTACCCCAACCCCTATCACCACCCCAACCCCTATCACTACCCCAACCCCTATCACCACCCCAACCCCTATCACCACCCCAACCCCTATCACTACCCCAACCCCTATCACCACCCCAACCCCTATCACTACCCCAACCCCTATCACTACCCCAACCCCTATCACTACCCCAACCCATATCACTACCCCAACCCCTATCACCACCCCAACCCCTATCACTACCACAACCACTATCACTACCCCAACCCCTATCACTACCCCAACCCCTATCACTACCCCAACCCATATCACTACCCCAACCCCTATCACCACCCCAACCCCTATCACTACCCCAACCCCTATCACCACCCCAACCCCTATCACCACCCCAACCCCTATCACCACCCCCAACCCCTATCACTACCCCAACCCCTATCACTACCCCAACCCCTATCACTATCCAACCCCTATCACTGCCCCAACCCCTATCACTGCACCAACTCCTATTACTATCCCAACCCCTATCACCGCCCCAACCCCTATCACTACCCCAACCCCTATCACTACCCCAACCCCTATCACTGCCCCAACCCCTATCACTACCCCAACCCCTATCACTACCCCAACCCCTATCACCACCCCAACCCCTATCACTACCCCAACCCCTATCACTACCCCAACCCCCATCACTACCCCAACCCCTATCACTACCCCAACCCCTATCACCACCCCAACCCCTATCACTACCCCAACCCGATCACTACCCTATCACTACCCCAACCCCTATAACTACCCCAACCCCTATCACTACCCCAACCCCTATCACTACCCCAACCCCTATCACTACCCCAACCCCTATCACTACCCCAAACCCTATCACTACCCCAACCCCTATCACCACCCCAACCACTATCACCACCCCAACCCCTATCACTACCCCAACCACTATCACCACCCCAACCCCTATCACTACACCAACCACTATCACCACCCCAACCACTATCACAACCCCAACCCCTATCACTACCCAACCCCTATCACTACCCCCAACCCCTATCACTACCCCAACCCCTATCACCACCCCAACCCCTATCACTACCCCAACCCCTATCACCACCCCAACCCCTATCACCACCCCAACCCCTATCACCACCCCAACCCCTATCACTACCCCAACCCCTATCACTACCCCAACCCCTATCACCACCCCAACCCCTATCACTACCCCAACCCCTATCACCACCCCAACCCCTATCACCACCCCAACCCCTATCACTACCCCAACCCCTATCACCACCCCAACCCCTATCACTACCCCAACCCCTATCACTACCCCAACCCCTATCACTACCCCAACCCATATCACTACCCCAACCCCTATCACCACCCCAACCCCTATCACTACCACAACCCCTATCACCACCCCAACCACTATCACCACCCCAACCCCTATCACCACCCCAACCCCTATCACTACCCCAACCACTATCACCACCCCAACCACTATCACAACCCCAACCCCTATCACTACCCAACCCCTATCACTACCCCAACCCCTATCACTACCCCAACCCCTATCACCACCCCAACCCCTATCACTACCCCAACCCCTATCACCACCCAACCCCTATCACCACCCCAACCCCTATCACCACCACAACCCCTATCACTACCCCAACCCCTATCACTACCCCAACCCCTATCACCACCCCAACCCCTATCACTACCCCAACCCCTATCACCACCCCAACCCCTATCACCACCCCAACCCCTATCACTACCCCAACCCCTATCACCACCCCCAACCCTATCACTACCCCAACCCCTATCACTACCCCAACCCCTATCACTACCCCAACCCATATCACTACCCCAACCCCTATCACCACCCCAACCCCTATCACTAC